CTATAATATCTTAAATTCCATGGCCATTTATCCAATGTTACTACTAATTAAATGGTTGAAAACAAGAAAAAAATTTAACTATTCTTATTGAAAAGAAAAAGAAAGATAAAGATGATATCTGGAACAGTGTTGGTTACTGGCATGAACATGACTGTTAGCAAAGAACAAAACATAACCATGCAATAGAGCCAGGCAATATTTTAAAGTTTTACACTGCTCAATCTACTCCTTAAACAAAGATGTAACTGCAAAAAAGATGTTGTGCAAAATGAGGAAAATATGCAAAAGCCATTAAAGTGCGGTTGAAGTTCAAATTGCCTATCCAAATATAACATTTATCTAAATGATAAGATTATTCAGCACCATCTTTGAATATTAAACTCTGTATAAGTCTATTTATAAAAAAACGTGCAAGAGAAGCCATAGATTAACACTTAGTTGGTCCTGCCTCTCCAGATTAGATAAGCAGTGTACATGCACCTATCACACCATATTATATGGGCTTTAACAGGGTGAACACAACAAAAAAATATGGTTCTCCATGACTGGCATCAGTTATAATGCATGTCTTATTATAACTCTTTCTTCATCTGGAAAATCCTTTATCTCATTTTAACTGCAGTACTATGTTTGGATTGGTAAAAAATGCATAGAGAGCTGTTAGGTTGACTCATTCTTTCATGTCATGCTTGTAAATATTGATCTGAACTCACATACACACAAACTATATATATATGCATGTAAGCACATATGCTTTTATCATTTGCAGCATACTTGGTTTTGGGTAGCATAAAAAAGATCTGTTTTTGAAAGACATGCTTATGATAGAAAATTATAAAACATTATAAATTTTTTTCATCAATTAGTCACCAAATCTGGCTGGGGAAAATTGATTTTTATTTTTTAATAACCTAATGATTTGTTTTAATGGCAAATCCAGTCCTTTCTGTTCAAAATAATGTCTTCATCGGTGCTAATTATATGACCATCATATCAACATATGGGCTTGGTTCATAATAAATTAAAACCCCGATTTACATGTTCTAAATCTAGTTTACTTGGTCTTTGTTCAATGTTTTGTGTTTTATTTACATACCCTATAACAAAAGTCTAAAATATTTAGAAATGAGGGCTCTAGCTACTGAACCAAATGAAGAAAGTATTACACACTTCTAAAGCCTAAACAGCAGAGACGTATTATAGTTCCTACAAGAAACACATAACTGTCATGCCCAAAGTAATCATACCAACCAAGGCATGCAATTATATACAAAACAGTCATTACCTTGCTGTCCATTTCATGTCAAATAAATTTTAAACTCAACAAGGTATGATTCTTGGTATGGCTCTACAATGAATATTGAGCAAGGCAGAAGGGGCAGTAAAAGGGTGATGGGGGGGTAGAGTGAAGTGAGAGCAATATAATGGACATAAGGGGGTTCCTTAATGTATCCTTCATGTATCAGTCCTCTCTGGTCAGCCTGGGACCTTGGGCGCAGTTAACCCCAGTTAGCAATACAAGCTTGACAATTACTCACAGAGGGACAAAAACCACACCTGTGGATCCCCCAATATGCTATGGTAAATAAGTGCTTGAGGGATACTTGTCCACAGATCCAAGCTTTGTTATTTCAATATCTTTTCTTGCAGGACACATATAGAACTAGATAAAGTCAGGCTCAGAGGAGAAAAAAATTCGATGCAAAGATTATCTCAGATGCTGAAGTCAAATTGTTAACAAACTATTTCTAGTATGCCTGTGAGCACTATATTTCTCATGGTACCCAATAAAGCTGACTGAACTTATATTAGTCCCCAGTTCAGTTAAAGATAACAATAGCTAATGAGGAGACAGGTATTAACAATATACTGTAAGGAATTCCAATCTACGAAAGCTGCAGCAGTCTCTCAACCCTCCTTTGTTTGTGAATCTGGTATCATTGTTATAATATACAGTTTGAACCAATCAGTGCTGTAATTCAATATATGAAAAGGGGTAGGTCTAACCAAGAATTTATGCATGGACTTTTAACAATGGTTTTGTCAGCTTAAAACTATCCTCAACTTGATATCCCTTTTTACCATGGACCTTTCTGTTGAAGGAAGGATACATGTATCACTGGTTGTAACCTGTGACTAATGGGAGCAATATTTCTACTTCAGGCAAGAACTTAATTCACACAGTCTTCTGATTATCTTCACCTTTAATAATTTTCAAGCACTGTTTATACAATATGGAACAATTGTGTGATTTCTGATAAAGAATTTTTAGATAAGGAGCAGAGCAATGTACCCATACAACAATGAAAAAATTGCTTCACTTTGAATGGGAAAAGATTTCCCTTAATTTGCATTTCTAAAATTGAATACGAAATAAATGACAAAAACAATAAAACATCTAAGATACTCAAGTCAAAAACACTTGACTTTTGCAAAAGGGCACTTGGTTGTGACATTTACAAGACAAGCAATAAATCAAAAAGAACAGAAAAACATAGCATAATATGCTCAGATATGTTTCCTTCAACAGAGTAATAAATTAGCGTCACTTTGAATTCATCAAAATCATGAAACTTCTGCAGACTAACATATTTTTGATATAATTACCTTAATTTGAGACCCAGGTGGTGTACTTGTTTTATATATTTTTTGCATCACAAGGTAACACAACACCAAGATATGAATACTCGTAACCTCTACATACAGGATACTTTATACAGGATTTACTCGCCAAAATTAATTTTCTTAGGGGAAACTTTTTTTACTACTCACAAATCATTGCTCGCCCCCTCCCTGCACTTGTATTCCATGTTTTATTCCATTTTCAGTTTAATTCTTTAATTACAAATGACTGACCTATGTAATATTATATCTGTCATATTAGATAATTATTAGGAAAATTAGTAACTTTGCTTGATTTGTAGATCTATATAAAAAAATAATAAATTTGGGAAATCTTTAAATGTGTACAGCACACCCTTAAGTTTCTTCAAAATCGACTTATTTTCCTAAATGGATTTTTTTTTTCATTATGGGCAAGTCAAATTGTTTTTGAGTTACCTTAAAACTACAACTCCTGAAATAAAAACACATGTTTGGAGCAAGCCAGGAGGTCAAAATTAGTCGGTTAGCACAACATGTTACACTCCACCATAGATGGGTTGAAGACAGATGAGACTGAGAAAAATGGACAATTATTTATAAAATAACAAGATCCTTTTGTTATGTCCATCAATTGGATCTTACAGTTGGGATAATATTTTAATCCAGTGAAATCCTACCCTTTTTTATGAGAATCACTTCCTGGGAGTTATGACACAAGGGACTGACGTTATTTTCTTATCTTTACGGATGCAAACTGTGATATGGTTAGTATCACATTGTATGATATATGACTCAGTTCTTTACATTTTTGACCACTACATGCATACACTGATGCATGCTGAGCAATAATTTGTATTCAGATTTAAAGATAAAATAATACTTTCAAAAAACCAAACTGTTAGCAGTTGTAGATCTTCACTTTTATTGAAATATTGAAATGGTTGCCTCCTTGAAATATGCATGATGTCATCCTAAGCAAGATCAGATATGTTGTATGTAGATTCATAGTTTGTAGGGCAACTGCTTTATAATTTATCATCACACCTCTTCTAGTTAGTTTGTTAAAAGGTGTGTGTCATATTATATAATTATAAAAATATGGTAAGGCAAATAAATAGCCAGTTGCTAAGCACACAGACAATTTCTACTGTTGATAAATTGTTTATTAATAAAGAAATAATACAAAAATATGAAATGTGAAAGATATGTTTATGTTTTGATGATTCCTCTTTTGCATGAAGTAAAACAACATATTATCCAAAGAATAAAAGCAAATATGCATTTAAGCACATGTCGAAAACTAATATGAATGTTGGTATTCTTACATTTCTGACCTAGAACCAAGCTCCATGCTTTAAGAGGTTAATGTGTCTTTGCTGCACAATAAATAGCTTCAGAACATTCTTTTGCCAATATAATAGCCCTAAAAAGGTTTCAAGTCTTTCCTTAAAATAAGTCAAATATTCCACAGTTAAGAGGTTCCAACAAATAACTTCACTTTAGTTACCTTTGAAGGATTGGGTTCAAAAATCCATTTGTCACTTTGTAACTCTGCTGAACAAACACAGGATTTCTTTTTTTTCATTTGGAAATCTACATACAACCAATCAGACTAATGGGGGTTATAGGAATATATGCCACAGACATTTTAATCACTGATTATAACTATAATATTAATTAAGCTAAATTCCTGTTTATGTAAATATCTTATAAAGCAAGGACATGTCACAAATGGTGTAGTCACTTTCAGGCCACAAATCAAAGTTTGATGCACAAAAGGCTGCATGCAGGCATCTTGTTCATTTCAATATGTATACATTTAGTGTTCTTATGGCTTTGGACACTAATTGTGTTTATATGAATAAAATGTGTTAATACATGCAACCAATAATTACATGTACTAATCCACTATTACACACTTATATATCTAAATATATGTGCATAACTCACATTGGGGAAGCCGCTTTTGTTACAAGAAGATTTTGACAATGTTCATTAGTTTCTGCTAATACCAAAGATAAACTAGCTGTTTCGCCAAATTTGTTTGAAAACAATAAATCTAATCATATGGTGACAAGTTTAGCAAGAAGATATATGCAGAGTCTAGAGGTGATATGTACTATTGGTCTTATGGGCCAAATAATATTAAAACTGAATCCAGAACTAAGGTATGTTTGAAATATGGAAACAAGTTTTTACCACTTTACACCTACTCTTTAATTTTATGCAACAGGTGAATTCATGATCATCGAAATTACACGAAACCGTCGCAATTCACTTCATCCCAGTCTAGTTCCATCTGAGTGAAGTGAACACTACTGTAAACTTTAGGAATGAGATCTACCAAACTAACAAGTGGTGGTGTGAGGATTTACACAAACTTTATATCGACTTACCACTTCTTTCCAACTCGTCGACGTACTCAGTGATGCCGGTGTTTCCTTTAACCAGTTGTAGAAAATAGTTGGTCATCTTATACAGAGGATCCATTGCTTTATCTATTGGCCTTTGTAGAAAAGTATCTGGTGACGAAGCCTCATCAGAATCCGAGGATACTGTAGTATTCGATGTACTTGTCTGAGCCCATGTATATGACATCGAATTTAAACTGATAGCTATCATCAGAGCTACACCCACAGAAACCCATGGGTTTTTAGTCCTAGGAGACATATTCAAACCGTCCAGCAGTTTACAGGCAGTTGCTTAATACTTAAAATCTGTTTAAATTACAAGCTACCGCGTCTTAAAGCAATACCATGTATAAAAACGCCTCTGTCGTGTATCTGCCGACTTCGGCTAACAACAGTCGCGGCTAATCTTCTACTTCCTATCACAGTTCCTTTGACCTTTGGCCTTGACCGATGACGTCAGTCTGTTGATTTTTGAGGTGTGACTCAAAAATATTGGAGCTTTGTTTCTTGAATCGTGACATTATTCATCCGTCAGTTTAGTCATTTTTTATTGAGAAATTTGTGAAGTAATGTATATGAAAAGAAACAAACACTTTAGAGATGAACCAAACAGTTGTTGTATACATAAACTGAGAAAGGGGCGGGAAGGAAAAAGACAAAAGAGGGTGTATAGGGCGTGGCGGCGATAAAGAGAGAAGGCATACACATTAAATAACGAGAGGACCAAAAGTTTAACTTGAATAATTTATGAATAATTTATTATTTTAAGTACCTTTTCATTTACTTTATTCATCTTATTCTGTTCATTTTACCGATGTAAAGTCTACTGAAAATTTGATATGGATTTTAGACTATAAATAAATATTGTTCTTATTATTATTATTATTATTATTATTATTATTATTATTATTATTATAAAAAGTTATGCAGTGTAAAATGTGGGCTGCAAATTGTAACACAAAATACCCTGCACACTTTATTATTAAAAGAAAGTCTGGAAAGAGGACTACAAATCACAACGTAATAGGCACTGAGCTTTTTATATGTGCTTGTAGTTATTTATTTCAGTTACTTTTATTTGTTTTAATTTCTCTTAAAAGGATAAAGATTAACAAGCCAGTACATCGGTCAACAGATCTGAACACATTGAATACGCCAGTTATTGTATTATCATTTTTCCAATGTAATTTAGACGGGATAGAGGCACGTTGTGTAACTCATTAATAGCCAGGTTACAATATTTCGGTGAAAGAACGTGCTCCTTTCATAAACAAAACAACTAACGAAGGTTTATGGTAATATAAGGCTTTTTTCCTTTTATGTTTGCGCCAAAGAAAGGCAAATAGCAGCTTCTGGCTTATACACCATGTTTAGCTTCATGGACATTTATATTTGTGGTAATGTTATCTCTGTTAATAACTTTATTTGCCGTATTTTGCTGGTGGTCTAGATGCGAGAATGTCACAACTGTGGCTTCTCTAGCACATTTGATAATACATTTCTAAAACCGAATATTGGCCTGTTGGGGATGAACACACAAAACCTTACAACTTTTGGTGGGGACAAGCTTTTACACACTTTGAATATTGCGAAACTGTTGTAGGATATGAGGAAAGCATGCGGACAGATTATACCATGTTATTCATGCTTATATTTATTTTACGGTAACCTAAAGCACGTTTCCCGAATTAAAGACCTGTGTTGATCCGAAGATCGATTTTCTCCGTTTCCGTTGCCTAACGAAACCTTACCTTATATTGTTAGAAATATTACAAAACTTTTGTACGGTATATTTCGACCAATGGCAGATCGATTTCTTTGATATATAAGCGTTTAAAACGTTGAAGAGAGTGCACGTGTTTATCATTTTTTATCTACCTGGATTTTCACCGTTTTCTTTGAAAAAAAGCGAACAAAATTGTGTAGGTTTTTTTCATTGCTTAAGACTTTAATGGCTTCTATGGTGTATAAATCGTAATTTTATAAAATTTGATTTTGAAAAGTTTTTTTTTTCAAAACGGTGGACTAGTACGGTATTCTTAAGTCGTTTTCTGTGGTCTTTGGGTCGACTAACCAATCAAGGTTTTAGTCGAGCGTGGGTCGCCGTCTGTAACGTCCGTATTATATTTTTTTACTTGCTAGAAGCCAGATAAGACTGCTGCATTACAATTCTAATAACAAAGCTAAATTTGGCAACAACGCAAGTCTTCACAATATTGGCTTATTATATAATTATTTAAAAATACATTTATTTTACAATAACACCATCGTTGACATAGGAGCCTTTTCATTAAATTAAAATCTAATAAAATATCTCAATATGTCAAACAGAAAACAGTTGTAGAGTTTGGTGTTATTGTATACAATTCAGTTGCTTAAAAAGATAACATAAGTATTTTTAAATGTTTAAAAACTGTGAGGGCAATTATAAAGAAAAATGCAATTTAGGCATGCTTTAAGGCTTCTTTTACTGTCAGTTTTGGCAAAACACATTCATTCTTCTTGACGAAAGCTCTGACAGATCTGGGGTTGGTGCTAAAGTAAGTTCTCAATGCCCAGCCCATAGCCTTCTGTATAAAGAATTCTTTTTCATGAGCCCTTTGTAAGCAGTACCTGTTAAAATAAAAGATAAAGAAATGATAAAATAAAGAAGAATTAAACACAAATTACCGAAATAAAGATTAACCATCATGTTGAGTCAAATCACCCCACAGACATATTTATTTTAACATTTGTTTGGAGATAACTGCAAAAACAACCAATTTAAGCAATATTTTCAGTATGATGGGAGAATCTGTCAAAGGAAGTAATGTTAAGACAATTAAAAATGTTTCTAAAGCACTGGTACTGGGCTCTGCCAAGGGAAAGGGGTGCACAAGGATAAAATTTCTTATTTCACTCAGCAAAATGCCATAGTTATTTTCTCAGGAAAAAAAGTGCATCACTAAAGTTCTGGGGGAGGGGACGATGCACATGGCCCATTGTGCCTGTAACTAACATTATTACCACTTCAATAGGTACCTATATTCAAAATGTGTGTGAAACTTTACAACCTGAATAACCTATCCTCATCCGTTTCTTTGCGGTATTTCAACTGATGCAATATAGCAGATCTTCGCAGCCACATTTCGCTATCATCAATCCATTGGTCCATCACTGGTATTAGATCTGCAGGGTATTTGCTTACCAAGAAGCCTACAACTAAAAAAGGTATAAACTCACTTGAGAAAAGCACTTATGTATTTAAAATAGAACAGTGCTCATTGCTACAGCAATTTTTTACAATTTTTAACTTGAACAAAAATTTAATATCGATTTCTAAATTAAGTGCATCAATTTAAGTTGGTTAAATAAAGCTCCATAAAAATTCTGTATTGCACTGTCAAGTTGAAAATTAATGAAGAGATAACATGAACTGTTTTGAAGGTGAAGACCCTTTTTTCAAATCCCAAAATTTCTCTAAAATATTACAAATTCAATAATTTGCCAAATCTACCGTCAGTGAAGTCTATTATCCAAATGGATGCAAGACTTAAAATTGAATGGGGCTGGTTTATAGAATATTAAGAAATATTTTCAGTGAACAATAACTTGGCTCGTAAGAATACACTTTTCCATCAATATTTCTCAAGTTAATTATATTTAGCAATGTGAAATTATGGCCTACCACCACTTAGGCTATCAACGGTGTCCCACCAACTCTTTTCACTGACAAGAAAGTCTTTTATGTTTTCCACAGTCTCTAAACATGTTGTTTTGTCTTTGCTGAGGATGTTTTTGTTGCGTATCGCACACTCTACAGCAAAGTATTGCATCTCCCTGCGATCCTGTGACCAAGCTAACTTCATCACCTCCCAAAGGCATGATGCATTCAGTTTTGGGTAATTTTTCATGACCTACATAACAAAAATCATACTTAAACGTTGTCATTGAGGCAGGGTTGGGGACAAAAATTGCTCAAGACGCATTCCTAGACCTCCTTTTTTTTTTTTTTTAGAAATATCACGACTATAAAACCTCTCATCTGTACCAGTACATATTTTATGATACAAATAATAATGGGATGAAACATTCTTAAAAGATCCTTTAAATGGTTAATTAAATAAATGTAAAGCACAGGTTATTTATTTAAGGTTATTTTGAAAATCCAACTGCTTTTAGACTTTTGTGAACAAGAAACAGTTGATGCACATACTGCACTAATTTTAGCATATATAACACACATTGCTCCAATCTGAAAAATAAATACCTGTCTTTCTATAGTTCTTCTTTCTGTTGCCTGAAGCCCATAAAACTTAAATTTATTTCTCATGTATTTCTTCATTCCAGCAGCTTTTTCCTTATTTGAACTAAGACCGAATTCTTTTTTGACATGGTTAACAATTTGTAAAGGGATATTGCCTCTTTGAAAATTGCTCTGTGTGCTTCTCCTGCACTGTGCAAGCTTTAAGTTGCTTTTAACTTTAGGCATGACACTGACTGAAAAATTCTTCCTTCAATTGTCTGGAAAATAGAATAATAAAAAGGCACAATACACACATTCAGTTAATCATTACCATTTTTATGTATGTATATCAGTGTTTCTACTGGTCTAAACTTTGTCTGTCTGGAATATTCCAGTCAGCATTTCCATGTGAAAAACACCCATCCAAACTGTCATATTTATTGTTTATGTGTATTGAGTGAAAAAAAGTTATGCAACCTGAATCTTCCTAAGGAAAACCTATGTTTATATAGATAGATTGATACAATATTATTATTATTTGAATTTTCCTAAAAGAAAAGATCAAAATTTTCATTGGCAAAACACTTTTACTGAAAAAATTGCCAAATATTTTTGAGTAGTTCAATTATGTTTAATGATGATACTCAAGGACATAACTTGAATTAGAAAATGGCCATATCACCCTTTAAAGTTAAATGGGATACATTAAAATATACACATGTTAAATAAATCTTTGAGCCACAGCATGATATAGTTCAAGTCATCTCACAGGTCTATTTTGAACGGTTCCAACACAGGTACTCAAAGTGATTTGTATACTTTGATAAAGACAGTTTGTTAAAAATTTTATGTCAAATAAACAAAAATAAGCTATTTTAATTCATTCATCGCTCTTTAATTTGTCAAAGATAAGTTCAACTGTTCTTGAAAGTTTTAAATGCATGTGTTAGCATTGCCATATATCTTCAATATGAAAAGCAGCAACAGCACTGACATCAAATTATTACTGCATTAATTTTATGAAAAAAGGGAACATAATGTAATTTCTCAGTAAATACCAACAAACTTTATTATAAGTGCTGGTAACATATTCACCAAATCAAAATGCTGTCTTTTGCCAGAAGAAATAATGATTTTTGCAGTTTGTCATAATAATGAACATAATTGCACAAAAATGTAAAATCAATAAAGATTTCACAGGATTTGGAGGAAAGAGGGGTTACAAATAATGTACAACTAAGCACATTGTACAACAAATAAAAGCTGACAGAATTCACCTGTGTACATATTTTATGGTTATTTTCTTCTGAAATGGAGTCAACTGCACAACACGTTTTGTGCATCACTTTTGTTACAGTCTTGAAATTACCTTCCTGATGCGTAGAGTTTCATCCTCATCTACTAAGTTTATCCTACTTCACAAGGATTCCCGTACTTAAAACTAATCTAGCATGATGCTATGCACTGATGTCAGACACTTACTAGGCTTTTCGTGGATGATCCCCATTATACTTTTGCAATATGAGATTCTTTTAGCACTTAGGCAGGGTTGTGAAAAATACAAAATATCCTTTAAATATTTACCCCCCTTTTAAAACATTTTGATCTTATAAACAAGTAACTATACCATATTAATCAATACTAGTAAGTCATCTTTGCTCCAGAATTAGAAGACACACTACAAACAGCACAGAATCCTTATCAATGAATCTCACGAGTGATGTATTGGATGCATCTAGTCGGCAAAAGTTCAGTTACTATGGAACAGCTATAAATAGCTCACTTCAGTTTTTTTTTTTTTAACCTTAGAAAGAGTGGCAAAAATACATAAATATGAATGTTTTAAATGCATGTGGTAGCATAACTATAGGGCTGTATGGATCATCTATCTTGGACAGTCTTTTGCAAAAAATCAAATATTAAGTTTTATCTCGTTAATACAGCCTTAAAACATAAATATTTCTAATCCCTTTGACTGGCAGTAAAGTGTTTTAAGTACAGAGGCACCAACATGGTACTTCTACCAAGGCTCTTCTGTTATAAAATTGGATGTGTATGGTAACAACTAGAAGAGCCCCTGGTAGAGTATCAAAATGGCACATGCTTTATAGATGTTAATAAACAAAACTATAATACTGTAAAATCTCCAAAACATTGCACAAAAACAAAGTTAGCATATTCCAAATCATTTTGGTGGCAAGCAGAATGATATTAGATGTCTCTGATAAAAGGTCAAAATATTACAAGATTAAATCTCATTAACATAGCCCAAAGAAGTATATTTCTAATCCTTTTGGCAATAGGACAGCTGTCAGATAACTACAGATATTAACAAAAGTTAATTTGCCATAACATGAAACTTAAATAATGTAGATGCTGCTGAGTAGTAAATTTAATATACTCCTAATCCTTTTTGTGGCAAGGGGAGTGGCAAAAATATGGAAATATACCAAAAAGGCCCAAAAACATCCTTAAAATTGCAAAGCATTTCACTGTTGCTATATGTTAGTATTCCTTTCCAAGCTTCATATGTAGTCTGTCCTTGTAATACAATGTAAAGCTGCCAGTAAAAGAAACCTGCTGCTGCCAGCCCACAAGTCAAGCATGCATAAAACACTCCTACTATTAACAATTGGTATGGAATTACAGAACTTTCAAACCACCACCCATAGAGAGTATTTGGCAAGAGAGTTAACAGACTAAACATTCCAAAGCTGATATTAAAATATTTCTTTAAATACATGGCGATGATGACTAAGGAATAAAATGATCCAATGAACATGTAAAAACACCATAGTATAAAATATTTTTGATTGTAGAAGCCAATACAAGTGCACATGAAGAAACAATGATGGTCACGTTTCAGGATGCATTCATTGCACAACAAACAGTGATGACTTCTTTTTGGAGCTAAAGCATTGCAGGAATCACACACTGTTGTATTTATTTCTTCCGTTTCACTGTGCAAAGGACTTTTGGCATCCATTTCTGGTGTACCTGCACTGCTGCTGTTCACATTCTTATCTGCATCTTTTCGTCTGGTCACAGACTGATTTGAAATTTTGACTAAGTTTTTCTTTTGTTCGTCAGTAGTTTTTCTTTTTCGTGAAGATATATTCCTTATTTCTGGTTTGTTCCATAACGGAGGTAGATTGTGAATTGATGAATCGGTTGTGATCACAAGTACAACGTTACCTACAACTTGTAGGAGTATAAAACACGTAAAAATGTCATGTTTCATAACTGAAGTAGCGAATTCTCCAAAGATAAAGGGGATCATTTCAAATAAAACCAGGTATGTAGTAACCGATGTTAGGGTGCAAAAGTATGAGAAGGCAATTAAATTCCAAATGGCTAAAGCTTTCAATCTCCAATTACTGCCATTGCGTCCAAAAACACCGAAAATCCCCATTTTCTTGTAATCTACCAGACGTTGGAGCAAGAGATGGTGTGGACCACTTACCGGATGTTTGTTTCACCTAAACTAAAGACTTGGTGCGTCACACGAAACAAAAATAAATTTTAATGACTTTTTTACTTGCTTATCAAAACATATTCCGACGGAAAAACATTATATTTAAAAGGGACACGCTTATCATGTAAATACCCTATTGTAACCTTGAGAAATAAATTTCTCAGAATTCGCGACTGAACTGCAGCACTGCAGCTGAGAGGTCGTGTAACAAGTAGGCAAAGAGCACGTTTTAATGTTTCTGTTCATTCACTCTCAAACGTAGGTCTACATAATAATTATGTGGACACTATATATATATAACAACATAGATCTATATCTATAGCCTTTCTTTGTGTTACATGTCCTTTGGTAGCTTGAGTTTATCCTGTGGCTTTTGATGTGGCCTCTCTTTCGAAGCACGACATCTGTAAATAAACATAGATCTACCATTGGGTCATTGATAAGTCATACATTTGGGAGACGAATATTGAAACTGTCGAATTTGACTGTAATTTGAGGTAGGTTGATTTTTTAACACCCGATCTATTTCATATGTAGTTATGCACGTGGTATCATCATTTTTGTGCTGTGAGTTCTTAGAGTTAGTGTTAAAATTTCAATGGTGGCCGCCCTGAAATAAAATCGTTTGTACAAGTACAGTATTGATGAACCCATAGGGTGGATCCATTGTCAGACTGTCAGACAATACCTTCTCTATGAATGCTAGGGACTTAAAATTGGTATACTGATAGCCACATATGTGCGTATGCATAAACTGTTTGAAATTGTAAGCTTGAATATTTAGATCATATACATGTACATGTACCGGTACTACTACAGTAGTAATGGTATAGTACTTCCAGAAAAGCTACATGTACCACCCTTCATTAAATTTATAGGTACTGTATTTAAGGAAGGGCTTCAGTTTCAGCTTCACACTACTATCAGCAATAAGGCATGTTGCCAGTCAGGTTTATTTAATATTAGATATACTGATGTATGCATAGAATAAATTATTGATACAGTTTACTTAGAAGATCCATACTAGTATCTGGGGTGGCGCTAGCAATTTTTTTCATTTAGCCAAATTACTACTTTTTCATCGCTTTTTTGTCCAAATGGTTTAAATTTGACTAAAATCAGTCATATTAACCCTATTTTGTTTAGCCAAAGTCAGTCAATTTTAGCATTTGGCTAAATTGACGGGTCAATTTTAGCATTTGGCTAAATTGACAAGTGTTAGCGCTACCCCAGCATATATATATATATATATATATATATATAAAGACAGGAGATTTACCCATACCTCAGTTACAGTGGCATTGTATGTGTTGGAGATTTGAGGTACAGTTCACTGGTCGGTAAAATCAACTTGACCAAAGACCAAAAGCTTACCCTACATTATGCCAGCATAGGAATATTGATACTGTCCATTACTTTCAATGTTCTCAAGTTCAGGGTTGTGTATAATACATACCATGCAGTAAAATAGCAATATATTCCTGCACACACACACACACACAGTAATAAAATGTCTTTACTGAGTTTTCTTAGACAAAAATGTTGTGGATTTTATCTTTATTAAAAGATATCACCCACTCATTCAACCCTTTCAATCAGCTTCATATATATAGATAATTTTTTTAAATTTCAGTATGGACTTCCTGAAGCGGGTTTATGGAGCAGCCCAAAATGCTGTTCAGTCATTCACAAATCCCTACAAAATACAGGAAGTCAATTCCAAGAACTATGACAAGTGAGTGTGTATGATATTGATAATGTAAACTACCACTCCTACTACTACAAATTCCTGTTAATGTCCATGTATATATGTTATTACAGAAATACATACATACAAGCACACTTATGTGATAGATAATTGAAAAAAATACACGTAATATATGCACATGCACACATTCATGAATCCAAATGTGCATACACATTGTGATTCATGCTGAAAAAAACAATTCCCACAACATATACTGCTACATGTATGTGAAAATTTTCCATTTTCAAATGTTTCACCTATTCTGAAATCTAAAAGAATTTTTTCTTTTTTTTTTGAAAATCCAGTTCTAGTTTGGTGTGTAAAGAGGGTCTGTTTGCCCTGTACAAGATGGGAAAAACCTATGATGCAATTGTGCATTTTCCAGAACAAACTGATAAAGCTTTCAGGTAAGTATTAGACATGTTTATTTTTACTTCACTTATTGTCAACAAAATGTTTCAATAATTTGCACATACATGTCATTACATATATTGTATTTTTAATACTTTTCTTGTGTCCAGTTGTCAGTGGAAATGAGTAGAAAGAGGGTGAAAGCTAAAGTTAAAATGTCTTAGGTGATGTGGATTTCTTTGAGAAACTGTGCAGCTCATTTTATATACTGGTATTACTTCAGCCTTTTCAGACTTGAAAAAGAAATGGATGCATTGTCTCAGTTTACCAATTTACAAGAGAAATTAAATCCTCTGGTAATGAGTAGCCATGCAGTACTTCAGAAAGACAAACTGCAAGAACTGATAGACTGCTTAAGAGAAAACCCAACTTGGTCTTGTGCTCACCTTGCTACTCAACTTGGACTGAAAAATAGTCTCCGTCACCCTTCAGTTCTGTGGTGAGTTCACCAATTTAGAATAATATTAATTTACCAATCCATAAAGTTACATGTACTGTGGAATGGTATGATTTAGCTGAAAATGGGTCCAGGTCAATCCATGTACTTTTTTGCTGCAAGTGTACATATTCACCAAATTGCCCTGTATATATAGTGGTATTCACAGTAGTACATTATACGCGACTACCCCTGATCCCACATTGTTTCTGGAGTGACCTGCATTTTCAACTAAACACCTAAAATATTCAGTCATAAGGTCATTGATGTAATCCCCCATCCTTTTTATAAATACATTTTTTATAAACTTGGATTTATAATGTGTATCTGATATAATAGTTTCATAAATGCTGCTGATCCTAAATCTGGCTTGGCACCAATCCATTTGGCAGTGAAGAGCAACATGACAGATCTTGTAAAAGAATTGGTGGTGTGTCAGGCTCAAACCTCCCTAATTGATGCACTGGGGAACACAGCCTATCACTATGCTGCTGTAACAAATAGGGATATTATTAGGGTAAGACTTATAGTGAACTAGTTTCTCAATTAGTTACCAAGGTTTTTTTTTTTCAAACACATTTCATTTTTAGTACAGAGAATGTAGAGGTATTAATGTGTCAAGTTTAATAGTTTTAAACCTGTCCTTTTCAAAAATCATTTTGTAATACTGACTGCATGGAACCTATGAACCTATAGTTAGATTTATATATGTATACTCAATGTTTAACTGATCAGGAATTCCATAGAAAAATATTTTAGAGCTTTATTTTGAGATTATTTTCTTATGTCTATTTTTTTCATCCAGATACTTGCCACCCGTGATATTGCCAAAGTTGTCAACACTTGCAATGGGGAAGGTGAAACACCATTACATATTGCTGCACTGCACAACAAAGATGAGTGTTTAGATGAGCTTTTGATACATGGTGCTGATCCTATGCTCACTAATTCCTACAGGTTCCCAATACATTGTGCTACAAAAAATTCAAATATAAAGTGAGTTCAAGTGTTAGTATGCAATCAATCGAAATCATTAAAACTTTTTTTTTGATTAGGAAAGTATGTGACATGAGTGTAAAAAAAATTGTTGAGAATCATTTTGTACTTCTGAAACACTAAATTTTAATATTTAGAAAAATTTTTTCAAACGTTGAAAGAAATATCATGATTTGACAATAATTGATGGTGATTTTGTTTATTTATTTGTTTGTTGTTTGTTTATATATTTATATATTTTTTCCTTTCCTTTCGTAGATGCATAGAAATTTTAGTTAAGAGGTGTCCCAACCAGTTGACTATGCAAGACTCAAAGTATGGTGGTGCTCCTATTCATTGGGCTAAAACCAAAGAGGTATTATGCATGCTATATTGCAAATGTTAATGTTAAGTGTTTAAGAAAATACCCTGTCACTTTTATGTATCTGATAAGAATGTTCATTTGATATCGTTGTTGAGATATATGTTACACATTTTTACAAGTCACTGATTACAATTAAAACATACCTACAGAACAGAATATGTGTGTTTACTTTCACATTTCAAAAGGTATAAAAGTTTTATTGAATACCAGAATAACAATGTCATATGTTTATAAGGTATTATAAAACTTAATATTTTATAGCATGATTGATAATCTTTAATTTATGTTATAAAGGTTTTATTTTCTTTTGCAGACAGTGGCCTTGCTTGCAGACTTGGGGTGCGATACAAATGCTCGTAATTTTTCTGGTGATACACCTTTGCATATTATGATACAGAGAAAACGTGTGGAGTGTATAGTTGAATTGCTGTCACGTGGGGCAGATGCTAATGCTATTGGTTATCAAGGAAATACACTATTACACTTGGCCCTTCTGGTAAATATTTCTTCATATTCCTTTAATACAAAAATAAATTCATTTGCTAAAACAAAGGTTCAAGCGTTATCTAATTATCATATTTTAATGTACCTCTACATACCTGTATCGAGAGAGAAACTTTGTCCAAATTTAAATGCCAGTACAATATTTGCAGAATATTGGAAAAAGTTTTTCACATAACTTGTACATTCTGTTTACACTTGTGTGCCTCAACAGATCTTATTTACCTTTGATTTGAGTTAACTGCAACTACCAGTATGGTTCACTATTGTCTTTCTCTTTTTTTTGTGTGTGTGAAACATTTTTGTTGGACTTTGTTTATTATGATTTGATTATTATGAATGATATGATTATTATGAATCAAACTTGGTGAAAAAATAACAATGGCTTACTTTGATGGAAAACTCAAGAAGTATTATCATAGAATAGCATATTCCTTTAATGCCAGCAATTTGGTGTGTAACATCAAGGACAAATTCTGATGTTTCAGACAGAAGATGTAGATGTTGTAAGATCCATCATTGTGTTTGGATGTGACGT